ACAAGGTGAGCTCTGGGTTGGGTCTTGCATAAGGGAGGTAATCCCACACAGGTAGGGGAAGGGCAGAGTGGCAAAGTTCATGGTGAAGAGGTGGGAGGCTTGTCTGATGTGCAGGGGGCCACATAAAGTTCTTATAATTCAAGGCCACATCAAGGCCTTGAATGGTGATGTTGTCGTGGGAGGGGATTAGAGAACAAATATGACGTGCTCTGAATGCCAGGAAAAGGGATGATGCTGGTCCTGTGGGAAACAGGAGTCTTCAGCAGGTACTGGAGGAAGACACAGGGCTGGAAAGGTGTGAGGGAAGCACTGGGACATGGGACATCCCTCTGGGGGGCAGTGAATAGTGACAGTGAGCTCACCTCCAGAAGTGATTGAGCTGGACCTGGATGGTGTCCCTCACCATCTGGTTAAGGTAGAGCAAGCAAGCTAAACCCTAGGAACCTTGGTCTCTTCAGGTGACATACAGACTACTTAGGAAGAATAAATAGGTACCACAAACAGAGCCAAGTCTTTTTCCTGGCAGTCCCCAAACATCAGTTTCCTTCTGGCCCCTGAACACCACAGGCACTGCCTGTCCTGTGATTTCCCCAATGGCCCTTCCTCCTGATCTCCACAGTGGCGTCATTCTGGGCTCATTTCAAAACTCTCTTCGCAGGCAAGAGTTCCCCCTCCTGTCCCCATTCCTTCAGGTGTTTTCTAGGCCATTAACTGTTCGCATCGCTAACTCAACCCCCTAGAGCAGCATCTAACACACAGAAGGTGCTCAACAAATATTTGTTGAATGAACGGTTGAATGGATGAATGAGTCACTTACCCAGCTCTGGGAGGGGCATAAACTTTGTTCTGAGACAACTTTTAGTTTGCGTGGGATCTTGAAGGTCATATGGTTTAATCCTTTTAAATACAGAGGATCCCCTCTATAGTCTTACGGTACCAAGCATATGCTCATGCAGCTTCCCTACTAAATGGGCCAGCCTACACTTGACCGTCTACACCGAGAGGGAGCTTATTAGTTCCCGAGGTTGCCTTTCTCATCTTCGAACCTTTCACTTATGTGCAAAGAAGGAAAAATACGTTTGAATAGAACCAGGAGTCTGCTAATACTAGACCAAGCTGTAAACCATGGGGCTTACCGACCCCACTCTTGCCACATAGGACTCAGTCGCCTTAACTTTCTAGGACCTGGAGTCCCTCTGCCCCCAAAGATGGAGAAATGGGCTTCTTGGTGCTTGGGCTGAGAGACCTGCCAGTCCCCCAACTGGGGAATATAGCACCTGGCTCCTGACAACGTTAAGAACATGGTGAAACATTCCATTTCAGTAACGTGATGACCTCATACTTAATAGAGCAATCATCAGCCTGTGAGGGCATGTTGCTAATCTTCCTGGGCCATAGCCTGGGACCTAATAGCTAATTAACTGGAAAATCCTTCCAGAAGGCAGGTCTTTCTACACAGATAGACTTGAGCATCTTTCTGAGCCCTAAATTGGGGTCTCCTGACACACTGTTACTGGGCTGGAGCTGACCCTATACTTATACTTGAGGTCTTTGGTGGGGGCATCCCCTGCCAAGTATTTTTATGACTTTATCTCTCGTACTGACTCAGAACCTCAGTGACCTTGAATGCCAACAATCCAATCTAGTCCCACCATCCTTACCACCAGGTGCCCATGTAACCAAGAGTCCACACCCCTGTTGGGCTCCCACCCTATTGACATCTTTCATATATTCCCTTGGGGATCTGACAGTATGTCTTTTTCCTCCACAAGATCAGAAATTCCTTGAGGGCAGGGAGGGATGGAGCCCTACTCATGTCGCATCTGAGGATTCCCTCCCTTTCTGTGTTCTCAAGGCAGGTTGGACACATAAGAACTTTGCAATTGATGACGTGGATGGAACTAGAGGGTATTATGCTGAGTGAAATAAGTCAATCAGAGAAAGACAACTATCATATGATCTCCCTGATGTGAGGAAGTTGAGAGGCAACGTGTGGGGGTTGGGGAGTAGGAAAGGAATAAATGATACAAGATGGGATCGGGAGAGAGACAAACCATCAGAGACTCTTAATCTCACAAAACAAACTGAGGGTTGCTGGAGGGAGGAGGGTAGGGAGAGGGTGGTGGGGTTATGGACATTGGGGAGGGTTTGTGCTATGGTGAGTGCTGTGAAGTGTGTAACCTGGCGATTCACAGACCTGTACCCCTGGGGCTAATAATACATTATATGTTAATTAAAAAAAAAAAAACTTTGCAATTGTCATAAATTTTGCTAAACTGAGCAGCATTTGCAATTCATGAGAGAACATTTCCCAGGTTGACCTATTCAATGCTCCCATACCTCTGCAGGACAGCTGTGATCCAGTGGTTCGCAGGGGTACTTTTGCTCCCTAGGACACAATGATGACGCCTGGGATATCTTGGTGGTCATGACTTGGCAGAAGTCAGTGTTACAGTCATCAGGTAAGTAGGGGCCAGATGCTATTGAATATCCAATAGTGCACAGCACAGCTCCCCGCTCCACTCCCAGTCCCCCACCCTTTGACACTTACACACACAGCATAGAATGGTCTGGCCAGAATGTCCATAGGGCCAAGGTTGAAAACCCACTGGGAAATTGGAAACAGAGGTCTAAAGTTGAGATCACTTGCAGACACTTGTACCTAGGCGCTTGGCTGACCTGGCTTCATCCCTGCTCTTGCTGATAGTGACCTAGGCTCCCACCTCTGCACCCCACGGCTTAAGCCACAAGTCAGCTCCCATGCAGCAGAGTTGGTGGTTTTAGGAACATATTCTCAATCTCCCTCTGTTTCCTGGCAGCTACCCCACAAAGTGAGAAGGAGATGAAGAAACAGCAAAGCCAGGGGAAGTTAGCGGCACTCCCGCACCCCGCCTTCACCCCCCATCACAGAATTACCCAGCAGAAACAGGCAGAGCCGATATTCCACTCTTGGCCACCAGGGGCTCCAAATCCTGCGCTTCTCTGCACCAGCTTCTCCTGTTCATGGCCTGTGTTCTCTGATGGAGACCCTTCTGTGGTCCCCCATCTATCTGTCATCTGCCTCTGCCATCAGACTTGGAGCTTCCCCGAACCCTAAAGCCTGTGCCAAGCCATAAATCCCTCCTGCACCTTTCAAACTGGCTTGTCCCAGGTCAGGTCTCAACTAATGGTACCTTCACTGACAGGCCTTCCCCCGACCACTGGCCACTTGTGGGAAGTAGCCCCCTCCCACACCTCTTTTACTCCTCCGTGTGAATCGGGGGGGGGGGGGGTTGGAAACTCCACTTTGGCTTAACTTCTGCCCCTTTGTTCTTCCCGATCGGACTCTTTCTCAACATTTCCTTTCTGCCTTCCTGGGCTGCCTATCCAGAGAGTGGCTATTTTCACAAGTTGCCTAAGAAGCACTATCTAGTACAGAGTTCAAGTTTAGAAGTGGCCCTGATGTTTTCGATAGATTTAACAAGTGCACTGAGTGAGGTTTCTAAATGACTGTCCCTAGGAGACCATGTTGACACTGCTGGGTGGGAGCAGCGCATCATCTGTCCTGGACACTGGTCCTGGCTCTGTGATGGGGCTGGGAATGTGATTCTGGGAGAGTCATTGGACACTCTGTTCCATCATCTTTTTGAAGTGGGGGGCCAACCAGGGCTCTTGGAGGGCCGTCCCAGCCCCAGCAGGTAATTCACTGGCAGTCCTACCACCAACAGCCCTTAGTCCCCATGTGCCTGAGTTTTCCCACACACCATGGAAAGACACATATACTGTGAACAGGGACACACATATTATGAATGGGGAGCTATATACTATTATTTTCTAAATGTTGCACCCATCAGAAAGTTGAAATAGTACAAGGCACATATGCCTTTCACCTGGATTCAGCAAATGTCAGCATTTTGCCACATTTGTTTTCTGCCTCTCTCATTGTCTTTTTTTTTTTTTTTTTAGACTTTACTTTTTATTTATTTGACAGAGAGAGTATAAGCAGGGGGAGTGACAGGGAGAGGGAGAAGCAGGCTCCAGCTGAGCAAGGAGCCTGATGTGGGACTCAATCCCAGGACTCTGGGATCATGACCTAGGCTGAAGGCAGACGCTTAATGACTGAGCCACCCAGGGGCCCTCGTCTTTTTCTTGATTTATATTTATTTACATATTATAGTTCTTTTTCTTTTAGCGAACCATTTGAAAGTTGCAGACATCATGACATTTGACTTCCAGATACATCAGCATGTATCTCCTTAAAAACCAGATCATCTTCCCACATAACTGCAGTGTCATTGTCATGGCCCAGAAAGTTAACATTGACACAATATTATCTACAGTGCAGTATCTGTGTGACTACCCCTCAGCTCCATCCCAAGAATGTTCTTTCTAGGTCTTTCCCCTCAATCCAGGAGCCAGCCAAGCATCCCACACGGCACCCAGTCACCATGTTTTCATAGTCGTTTTTAATCTAGAACCTGCGGGGAGACTGACTACATTTCATATCCTTTCTAGTTTCTTCTGGTTGTAGCACAGCAGAGGGGTTGCCTGTCTTGCCCCAGAAGGCTGATGGGCAGCTTCTTTCTGTAGTGGGTTTGATGCCTACTATTTCATACCTCTGCCAATTAAACCCTGTCTGTGGCAGAGCCCGGGCAGAAGCTCTGCTCCAGAGGCTGCTTCACAGGGACAAAAAAAGCAATAATAACCAGGATGCTGAGAAAAGACAAGCTGTAGGCCTGAACGCCAGCCTCCTTGGACACAGTGAGCTCTGGGGATGAGTGAGAGCAGCTTCTCAGCCTCCCCTGCCTTTTAATGAGAGAAGAAGGCACCAGCTTCTGAGAGCCTGAGCACGGCCCAGGCATTTAGAATCAAGTTGCACACATTCCCAAGCACTTTGTAAATAAATAAATAAATAAATAAATAAATGATGATGCCATGGTCTTCCTTACAGAGAGAAGCCTACTCAGCGTGGTTACTAAAAACAGGAACCTGCTCTTCTGCAAGTCCCGCGCGCCTTCCTCATTTCTAGCAGAGGAAGTGTGTGGCTGGTGTAGCAACTGCTGTTCTTCTTGATAGCCTGGGTTTCTCTGCACTCTCAGAGGCCTGGCCACCTGCTCACTGTGCTGGAGCAGCAGCAGCTGATGGAGAGACGGTGACGGCGTTCCCGGCGGGTCCTCCGTAGCTACTCCCAGGGGAGATCATGCCCAGCTTTTGAAGGTATCATAGGGGACATGGTAGGGGCCGGGCGGGGAGGAACCTCAGACTCCTAGACCCACAACTGGCAGAGCATTGCCTTTCTGGGGACAGGAAAGCACTCTGTGAGAACAGGCAGGGCCACATCTCGAGGGAGGCCGACACCTGACCCAGAGCCCAGCACATGGCAGCTGCCCGGTGAATATTTGATGCAGAATTACATATGGCAAGACAGGCTGGGGATCTTGGGGGCAGGGCCACTCCTGCCAGAGGAGATTTTCTAGCTACAGAGCAATAGTCTGGCACATAGCAGGCTTCATACTAAGGGCAGCTCCTGCTTGCTCTCAGTGTTCCTAGCTATATGACCTTGGGCAAGACATCTAAACCTCTCCAGGCCTTCATTTTCTCCTCTGTAAGGTGGAAAGAAAAGTACCCAGCTCAATAGGTATTGGGCAGATGAAATGAGCTAACATATGCAAAGTACCCAGGCCAATTTCAGACACATAGTAGGTATTCAATAAACGCTATCAGCAGGGAGTCCTGACATCTAAAATGCGCACAAAGCCCAGGTAGGCTGACCGATCACAGTAGTGCTTCTAGGAGTTTGGGTGGTGGATCTTTGGGAAGATGCCGGTGCTAACCAACAGTGATAAGCAACAAGCAGAGAAGGAGGTATGTGTACGGTCACAGGGGGAGGATTAAAGGAAAGGCAAATAGGTGAGGTATATAAACTCTGAAAACATAGGAGATTAGAGATGATTTTGGAGAGCTGGAATTCCCTAAGGAATATGGCACACTCCACATTCTTCAAGGTGCCAACACATCCAGAGAGCTTAATGCCAGGAAAATGACCTGGGCTTTGGCCTCAGAATGTCCTAAATTGGGGCCATGTGTGTAGGTGCAAAGGGTTGGTAATGAGTGGCCATGCTGAGTGGCGGGGGAGGGTCACTGCGTGGTGAGTTATTTTCCTGCAGTCCTCAGAACAATCCCGCAAGTTTATGCTTACTACGTGCTTTTGACAAATGAGAAAATGAGGCTCAGAGAGGGTGAGTCATTTGTGTAAGTCATACAGCTGGTGAGAGGCTCTAAGGGCTCCAAGGGCTGAGGTGGGGGAGGGGAGAGTCTCCGATACAGCAATTACATGAAGGACAAAAGTGTGTACCAAACCAGGGCTCTTTATTTTAAGAGAAATATATCCCCATAGTCTGCAAATTCTGTAATCTGCTATGAGACGCTGAGCCATCAACCTATAAGCTGGGCTATGGTCCTTTTAAAACTGGCGAAGTAAGCCCAAATCAAAGTTCCAGCAACATCCTTTGCAAATGATTTTATCCAGCTAGAAGAATGGTATTGAAGAGTGTTAAATGTGTCCTGAAAAGTATAATCATAATATTAAAAACCTATGAAATAGATCAAAATCCATTTAGACTTCTGTGTCTGAAACAGATCTTAGAGTCAGGGCAGCAAGATGGTTTCATGGAAAGTCACTGGTGTCATCAGCTCTACCTGTGTCAACATTCTGGGTCAGCCCCCAAGGAGCTATGTGACTCTGAACATGCCCCTTTGCCTCTCTGAGTCTTAGTTTCCTTTGCATAAGAAGACCTTGTACGTTTGTAAGAAGTTTAAATTATATGTCATATATAGGAGATGGTAAGCACTGAGCAGCAGCTAGTGATAGCATTCCTGACCCAGACAAGGAGAGGACATCCGCTTCCTCAGGCAGCCCCAGGTAACAGTCAGGTAACAGCATTACATACAACGAATCAAATCGTACAGCTACAGAGCAGGACGCTCCTTGATTTTTCTTAATGCTTATTTCGCTAGTTTCTCCGTATGATGCAGCTGTAACAGATACGGCTCCCCCATCTTGAGTTTGGGACCTGGCATTGTCTTACCAAGGCGACGGTCTCTTTTTTAAGACTTAGTAAGTCTCCATTGTGGTCAACCCTAACCAGCTTCGTGCATTCATAAAGGGTATTGTTTTTTGTTTGTTTGTTTTTCAGTTTTCATTGCACATTCAGCAAGAATTTATTTCCCCCAGATCTGACAGAGGCTAGAGCTAAAAATTCTCATTAAGCCTTTCCAGCACGTCAGGCCAGACTATTTAGTTCTTGTCAGCAAGCTGAGTGGGGCCCTGTGAGTACAGCTATCCATTCCTCCATCCCTCCCTTCCCTTAATAAATATGCATTGAGGCCATACCGTGTGACCGACTTCCTCCCTCTCAGCTCCCCAGGCGTTCCGAAGGAAATAAGTACCCTGGGTCCAAACCACTTCCTCCCATCTGAGAACCACCAAGGGAGGGGGCTTATTTCATTAGGGTAACTGAGCTACAGACAGAAACCCTAGGGCCTCGAAGGTTCAGTGGCTCCCTTTTGTTGTCAAACAGCTTTGCAAAGTCATACTTTCCTCCATGGCACTGGCCAGGCAGCAGGGACCATGGCTGGAGGCCTTGCGGTGTGGCAGGTGGGGCCGGGGGAACAGCATCAGGAGACGGGGGCAAAAGTACAGTCCAGCCACGCTGGGCTGTTCCGGGCACTTTAAAGACGATACCTTCAGGACCTCAATTGAATGAAATGAATGCTTACTATGTGCCAGCCACCAGCTAGGTAACATGGTTTTGTTGTTGTTGTTGTTGTTTTTCATTGAGGAATATACTAGACAGGGAGGGGAAGTTTACAGCTGGGGTGGGATTGGGTAAGACATACTTAAGAGAAACAAATGCCTTATGGTGTGTGCCATGAAGGGAACAAACTGGGCCCAGGACAGACAGCAAGGGTTTGCTAGTGAAGCTCGTGCAATGTGATTCTCGCATTATCCTGGGCAGTAGCCAGGCCCTTCCCAATCTGCAGACTTGCCAGTTTCTCCACTCCTTCCCTGCCCCCAGCCATGGCCTCCAAGTCACAGGGACAATCACTTGTTCCTTATACCCTCTAATTGCAAACTCCCAGCATCTGGAGTGTCAGACTCACTTCTTGATCTAGGCTCTATCAATACACCTCAGGGTCCATCTGCGGAATGCCCATTACGTACCTGACTCTCTAGCACGCCAAAAAGAGAGTAACGCCATAATCTTCTCATAAGAAAGGATGGATTCAGCTTTGTACAATCCTTCATCCATTCCCTGATGCTTAGGAGCACATAGTTAAGAGCCTTGCTCTGGAGCCAGATGCCTGGATTTAAATCCTGCCTCCACCTCTTACCAACTGGGTGACCTCCAACAGGTTTCAGAAATGCCTTGGCTTTGGTTTCCCCAGTTATACAAAAGGCATAATGATAACAATGCGTCCTACATAGATTCGTGGTGAGAGTCAAATGGAGAGTACCGCTGAAACACTTCTGCAACACACAGTAAGCTCCTGTCTTTCTTCTGTTGCCATATACTCGGCCCTGTGGGGAGCTGGCATGGATCTGTGATGAACACAGGGAGCCCTCCATCTGGTCTACCTGTTATTTGCAGGGGCGCAAACTGACACCCAAAGAATGAAAGTGGCTTGCCCCAAGTCTCTGAGAGGTTAGTCAGGCCCACTTTGGGTTCTAAAGATGCAATGTGTGAGAAGTAAAAATTAAGAAAAATTAAGGAGGGGTAAGGGGTTAACTCTCCCTCATCCCAGGGCTGGAGTCACCCATTCAAATGATCTGATGGCTCAAAGTTGACACCTTACCCTCTGCAGGCTCAGAGCAGAGGGGCAGGGGTGTGAGGGGAGAGCCGAACAGCTGGCTCTTTGGCTGGCCACTATCCATGAGCAGCACTGGCTGACTTGAGCAGCAAGGGGACCTGAGGACCTGGGCAGGTAACATGCAGATTCCCAGGCCTGTGTGCTTCTCTGGCTTCCCCAGCAATGCTAACTCTCTAAGTGTATGTTAAAAGATTAAAAATGTTATTGTTCTAGGATGAGGGTGGTGGAAGGAATCAGAGTTGGTAGTCAGAAGAATCAGGGTTTGAAAGTTGGCACCACCACCGAATGAACTGTGTGACCCTGAGCAAGTGATTCAACCTCTCTGAGACTCTATTTCCTGTACAAAATGGCAGGCTCTTTGGGGCATCAGATGAGCCAGTGTAGTTCAAATACCTAACTGAGTCCTTCCATGTAGTTGATGCTTCTAGCGATAACAACGGGGATGTCTTCAGGCACCTGTTCCAAATAAGGACAATTGTCAGAAGAAAGTCTCTTCATGCCACAGGGGCCTGGAACCAGGGGCATACTGGCTTGTGAGGGCCCGTTGCACCCATCTCTTAACTCCGCATTTGGTGAGGTCACATTGCAAACTTGAGATCAGCCACAGTGGGAATATTTACACCATGGAAGTAATGAAACCCAACCGAGTAGAGTCCCCCTCCCACCCCCCATCTCTGTTACAGTTTACTAGGTCACCACTCACCCACTCTCTCTCTCCAGTGCACATTGTTTTTCCACTTTCCACCTATCCCGTTTTGTTTCCCTCTTGGAATAGAGTCTTTGTTCCAGCCATGAGTAAAACCAGATCTGACCACTGTCTTTACTTACAGCCTTTCCTTGAACAAACACACAAGTAACCGTTACAATTATAATTTACTTAAAAGGCAACGCAAGGTTCCCGGGGAGGTGGAAAAAAGGAAAATAAAAAAAAAAGAGTATCTCAGAGTTCACCCCCCATAGCACATGCAAACATCCTGGGGTCTTTGCAGGAAGACTGGTACCCCAGTCCCACTAGGGGAACCGTCTGAGCACCCGGGGGTAAGACCCTCAAGTCTGTGCTGTGATGAGTGATCCCCAGTGAGGGGCAGGGACACTGGAGCAGGTGGCTCAGCATATGCAAATGAGGTTATTAACAAGCTATCAATTTCCATCTCGTGTGATAAGGTTATGAGCCACAGAGTTGATTCATATTTGTGAATAAAAAGGCCAACTAAGTCTTGCTGTGAAATGTGATATAGGAAACAAGTCACTAACTTTACGTCCCTGGGCCCACGTATCCAGGTGACCTCTCATGTCTGCACGCAAATCTGTCTCAACCCCCTACTTCTGATGAAACCTGTATTTCC